AGTGACATTTGCCGCATGCCGCAAGGGAGAATGCCGCAATCGGGGAAATGTTCCGTTACCCAGTTTCCAGTAACGCCTATTTTATAACTTGATTACTTTGATGTGCGACCTTTTGCAGTTCTGCGAAAAGACTATGGTAGGGCGTGTTAATGGGAAGCTCCTCACAACCATACACCACTCACCATGTGCGTGTTGTTGTTTGAAAAACCTTCAACAAGTTCTGTTACGATAATTGGATTCAGATTCAAGAGCATGGAAGCGATGCTTCCTGCCTCCCCATTCCTCCTCCTTATTCCTCTTTCCCTCTCCTAGCAATAATGATACGATGATAACAAAAGAGCCAAATATTTCTGCCTATTCATTCTTTTTTTATACATTTTTTTGGTTTCCTTCTTTCTCCACAACATTAGCTAGCTTCTGCTTGCCGCTTAGTCGTTTATACTGGTCGATTTCCAGATCACTACAACATCTACCGTAGCGATCCACGATTCAATCCTGCTGTAGTGAGTGCATGCGGTGGAGGCTGTGGAGGTGCGTTGTCACTGAGAATGTTACTGTCACCTTACCCTCCTGAGGACTGTTACCGATACCGTAGAATAGACTCTTTGGAATGCCACACCTTCACGGAGGGATTCAAGAAGCCCTTGCGATTAGGTTGCTCGGAAGGGATCCCGAGATTCAAGCTACTTACTGTCAGTTACTAGCACATAGGCCTGATCTAGTAATTAGAAGGATGGCTGTGGCAAGTAGTTTCATGGCTATTTAATTGGCCATTGCTCTTCCCACGCCTACAACATCANAGATTCAAGCTACTTACTGTCAGTTACTAGCACATAGGCCTGATCTAGTAATTAGAAGGATGGCTGTGGCAAGTAGTTTCATGGCTATTTAATTAGCCATTGCTCTTCCCACGCCTACAACATCACTGTCGGTTTCCTCATAAGTGTAATTCGTGGGGAATATCCACCCTTGGGAAATGTCCACCACACGGGGAAAACCATATCAATTTGGAAGAGGAAGGCCCTTATTCTAAGATTGTTAAATGGACTATTCCCGAAGATTGAAGAATGAGAACCTTTTTCAAGCAAGGAAAGCATAGGGAAAAGCCACAGCATTGGGATAAAGGAGCATAGGGAACATTGGGAACCCTGTGAACAACCGTGGTATTTGATACGCAGACACAGAAGCCTGCTTCTGCCCATGAAGCCATTCTCTACCGTAACGATGCCAATTTTCAGGATGCGGAGGCGGCTGCTCTGGTGGGTGCAATGGTGGTTGTGGAGGCGGTTGCGGAGGTGGCAGAAACGGTGAGTTGGAAAGTTTGAAGGGTTGTTGAAATACCCCAAAAAGTTGAACTGTTTAGGGTGCGGCGACTACGATGATGAGTCCGAGTCGTATGAAGAGGACGACGAAGAGAATGGCCATCGGCGATCAGGTCTGTGATTCTAAAGAATTGGTAGAAAGTCGGCAAGCCTAACAGGAGCTGATTTCAGGAGAGAGCCGGATAAACAAGCAGGATCCACTGGAAGATATTGACTTGGAGACCTTGGAAAAACTCGGAAAACGTGAGTAAACTACAGTTTTTATTTGTAATAGATGGACGGCATCATGGCCGGGACCAGTTATTACTTCGGTGATGCGCCAGCCATTTGATTCCCCCCGTTCGCCAATTCCGAAACCCCTGGCGACTCTCACGCAAGCTCAAGTCTTCCTGCGACATTAGGTTCAATTTCTGATGGAAGACTAGTTTAAAAAGAGTTGATAAGAGCTAAGAGTCATAAGAGCAGAGGCCCAGCACATTTCCACCAACTCCATTCCTCTCCCAGCACAGAACAGATTCCGCAAAGAACTTACGTGGGAATAAGGTAGGGATTACAGATGACACTTTTATCAACCTCCTTTCCTGGATGAAAACCAAGAAACAGATTTGATTTATCAGTGGGGGAATACCTAAACAATCTTACTTTGTACATTGCCTTCGGAGTGCTTTTTCATTTTAATCACTATATTCCTTTCAGCTTCTTATAATACAGATCGGCGGGGACCGGCCCGACGACGATCGAGGAAGTATAGGAAAGTTAGGAAAGCCTAACAACGACTTTCAACGAGCTCCGTTGATGTATACATATGTGTACATACGAATAAAGTGTTATTTCTATCCATAATAACTGGACTTCGGAGGCAGTACCTGGATGATAGTCTTGTTGTTAGTGGGAGGTAGTTGAGGTTATATCAGTTCCTTTTATTCGGATTTGAAGGGTCTTGCCACATTTGTGGATACGGTTCATTATTCTTTACTTTCTGATTTTTGAACATATGACTGGTATTGCTAGCCATTTGAAATCTCCACAGGTGTTTTACTTTACAGTGAGAGTTCCAAGGAATCGAGGGAGCTAGTACAAATTCGTATTGATGCTGCCGTAAATGGATGTGTAATCCAAGGGCTGATGGATTATCGTGAATAATGCCCTGGAAGGGATAGCAACACGAAATCCTCTCAGGCGTATTAGGATCGAAGCGATGTTTTGAATTGCTCTAATGCATCCCATTAGACATATTAACCCACATGCAAAAATCATTGTGTCGATTCGAACATGAATATGGTTATTACGCTTACAATTCAACAAATGATCAGTGATGAGAGAGGCACATACATGGCGCATTCGGAACGCTTGGATGATCCTGCTCTAGACATGAAACTTTATTGAAATACTTCTCGAAGCATTGTTCATTTGCCCCTAGAAGCTTCTCTAAAGTTGTTGCGGAAGGAATGTTTTCTCAAGATGCCCTCAAAACCTGCCCTCAAACCCATGAAGCTATTTCACTAGTGACAGTGATTCTTTCAGAATGCGCCATGCATTCGCCTTTGTTTAAGAAACGTGAAGCTTGATGTCTCAATGTCAAGTTCTACTCAATGTCTTCATGAGCACCGAAATTTTCAGTTTTTATTACCATATCTTAATTATTTCAGATTAATATCGTTTATTCTAAGGTTTCTTATCAAAAGATCACTTTTCTAATGAAAGAATGAAAGATCCAGTCACCGAAAACCATGAATAGGGTTCGTACCCCTTCCATGGCCGACCGGAATTCAGCTCTATTTTGTCGTTTTGTCGGTTGGTAGCTCTTCAAGTTGAAGCGAACCGAATGAAAGCTTCATGATGGCTCTGATCAGCTCGAATGTGACTTAATCCTGTTGAGGATGTATGATCAAGTAGGAAACAAATTTGATGCCAAACTTACCCTCCCCCAAGCTCCCCCCCTCCCCCATGAAATTAAAGTTAACTCTCCGACTACTTCTGAGTGAAAATCTGCCAGCCGTCCTTCTTCCGTAAATATAAAAGAATAACGCTTGTTTCTTGCGAAATTACCCCCTCCTGGCCGTTATCTTGACGACCAACTAAATTTTTGTTCGTCTTCATATTCTCTTTGAAAATTCTGTTATTCCAGAAGCTGCCGCCAATATTAAAGCCTCCGAACGGGCCTTCCCACTTCGAAGTGGTGTTATGCCGGAAATTCGTTTGACAAATCAGCAAAATGCTTCTTTTGTCGTGGTGAAGAGAATTCCCACAAAGCCGTTGGCGTTCGCATACATGTTTTCGCCCAATCGACGCGACCCAATCCAAACTTTCTCGAAAGAAAATACGATGAGTAAAATGGACAAGTAACAGGCGTTTGTACGGCTAAGTATGAAG